AAGAAGTTCTACCTTTTTCAAAATTAATTAATTGAAAGTATATTAAGTAAAAAAAAATTGTCGTTTCTTGATTTGTCAAATGAGATAAGTAAAAATAATAATTGAACAAGTAATTAGGGACGGAGAAAATATAAAATGTATGGATGGGCGGAAGGGAAAGTAAATTATGATATTTTCCTTTGTTGTTCAATGATTGTTTGGTAAAAAGATAGTTATAATAGGTTACGTAAAGGAAAACAGGTGTCCATCTATATGGCCGCCAACAAGCTATAGCTAGCTACCATTCTTCCAATCATCATATATTTTATATAAAGACAACACAACAAAAGGAGAAATGGGAATGAAAGGTGGCTAGCTTTTCATATTATTTACGTCATTTAGAATTTGGACTCGTCCTATAATCATCCATAAACCGTTGGAATTTTAGCTAAAAAGAGAAAAGAAGAATCCCAAATTAAAGGGTTTAAAATACCTTTAATACAACAAAGTGCAAAATCATGCTCTCTTCATCTTTAATGAATTAAACAGACTAACAGCAATAAGGGGTTTTGGTTATGTACATATTAAATAAAAAGGGAATAAAGAACTAATGCGTTACAGGAAATAAGGCTTTTTTTTGTAACGTAAAAAATCATTCATATTTCATGGGCAAAAAGACATAAGCAACGAGGAGTCGATCGAGAAAACACTAGTATAGTATAGTATATACGCAATAATTGTTAATAATAATATCTCTCATCTACGCAAAATTATAGCCCTACATTATAGGGTCTACTTCAAAACATTTGTAGGACAATACTATTTAATTTATTATGTAATATAATTGAATAGAACAGTCTAGAAGACCCCTTTTCTTGTTTTGATTCAATAGCAACTTTAATTTGTAAATATGAACTTGTACGTAAAATGAAAGAAGTAGACGGACGGCTAGCACAAAAGTACGTAGTACATATAGAATAAAATAATATGAATACATACGTATTTTATATAATCATTCTAAATTAGTTTGGAAGTGAGACGTAATGGATTGATTAAGTGTGATTAATCAAATTAAAAGCCTAGCTAGCTATAATCGATTGATTTGGGTGTGAATGAAAATCCTAAAAATAGAATAAAGTGGGGTTTAAGAATTTCTCTAATAGTACTACAATAAGCCTAACACGTTGATGGTAATAATATTAATTTGAGTATAGTAATTAATTTGTATGATTGGCACGCATAGGTAGAGCACGTGAGGAAAAAAAAATCCATTATTTTGGGTGAATGATTTTATCGTACGCCACCTACTAACCCTCCACTTGTCATGCAACGTAGATGATAATTGAGTTATATGCACAAACCACAATTTCCCCTATTATAAATACTCTCTCCCCTTTTGCATGAAATTGTGGGATTTTCTATCTTTTATACAAGCTAAGTGAGAAAGAAAAAGAGCAAGGTTTCTCGAGAGACCCTAAATAAATCCTTTCTTCCCAAATTTGAATACATTTGTATCATTCAATAACTTAATCACAATCAACATGGCCTTATTTGACCTCCACCATCCATGGCTCTTCGTGTTTGGAGTCTTAGGTAAGCTAAGCTTCACATGTTTGTTTCTATTCTTTCCTAAAAAGTTGTTGCAAAAATGCCCTTGCTAAGTTTTTTTGTAACCAAACTATAGTTATTCTTAGCTAATACAATATATTCACATTGTCCATTGCATATATATTCTCATGAGTATATTGCATGACAAACCTTCCTTATGTCATTCTTTTTTAGATTAACTAAAAAGGAAAGTAAGTCATATAAAGTGGACAGACGGAATAAGAGAGCACTAACCCTTTTATTTTTTTTCCGTTGTATGTTACAGGAAACGTTATCTCCATATTGGTCTTCTTAGCTCCAGTGTAAGTAACTAATCACCTTTCATTATTTCAAACAAAGAGAATTTTAGTATTTTTCTTAGACAGATACTAAATGTTTAATTGTACTGATTTTTCAGGCCAGCATTCCGACGAATCTGCAAAGAAAAATCAACGATGGGTTATCAATCAGTACCTTACGTGGTAGCACTATTTTCATCGATGTTATGGATGTATTATGCATTTATCAAGAAAAACGCCATTCTTCTTGTCTCCATCAACTCCTTTGGTTGCATTGTTGAGACCATTTACATCACCATTTTCATTCTCTACGCATCCAAGGAGGCTAGGGTAAGTTTTCATTATGATGTACCTACTATAGTTGAACAGGTTGAACAACGTGGTACAATCAACTCTATAACAGTTAACAGTTGTACACGTTGATTGCAGTGGCGGAGGAAGGATTTTCATCAACGGGGTTCAAAAAAAAATTAATCACATAAATAATATCC